ATGAGCTTAACTTAATGCGTAATTGTGGCGGAAGTGATCGTAAAATGTCAAATTAAATAAGATTTCGTTTGCTTTAGTATGCTAAAATTGAATAAAATTCGATCAACGTGAACTTCTGTTGCGCAGGTCACGGACGCCAATTAAAGAGAAATTCGACCTTATGTTGGCGGAATTTAACGAAAATGCAAATTCTTCATCCTATTGGTGGAATTTAACGAAAACATTCAAATTCGGGCTACTGAACATGTAAAAGTAGTATTTTATTACAAGTCGACGGGATTTTGGGGCCTCCATCATCATTCCCGCCAAATTTCCGTATTAACGTCACTTAATTCGCTGCACCAGAATCAGTATACCTGCTTGAAACACTCGTGGTGGTCACAGAGAGTAAGTCGTAAAGTCGGTTCGTGTTGAGGCTTCCATCCCCTCGCCCACTGAATTCGGTAGTATAGGGTGGCAACATTGTTCAGAACCTTTAATTCCTGGTAACTAAGCGGTTTTTTCTCTTGTCCTATTATTTCGCAACCACCGTCATATTGGATAGCATGTTATAACAGAGGTTTTACTGGGTCAGTCGTCTCATAAGAGCCAGATGCTAATGGATTCTGGCCTTTTATTTAAAAATATCCGACTTTTTGACCGAACACGGGCGTGGAAATATACTTGAACAGCCAGCAATCTTGAAATAAACTGTCTACTGTATGACAAAATGAGTCCATTTAGCGTGTTCCAACGGCTGTTTCAGAATACTGTGGCGAAATTTTTGTGTGTGTCCCTTGCGGTCACCCATGAAAGCACCGTGGCCGCGGGTGGATCTAGTATTTTCTACGTCGCGAGTGACGCTGTTCCTGGTACGCAGTGGCGGCCTGCACAGCATCTACCAACCTCGCTCGCATTCCCCGAACCCGCTGCTTTTTCTTGCAAGACAATCTCAAGCTGACTCGTGTTGGACGTGCGCTCAATGCTTACTCGGCTATTAAGCTCCTGTCCATGTCTGCTCCAAACACGCTGGTTTCTCCATGGACGTGTATTTTGTTGTAAGTGTTGCCAAAGCCGAGATTTCACCGCCTAATTACGCCTCATGTGAGTCCCCCAAAGAAGAACACGACAAGAAGAGAGCAAAAGCAGAAGTCCTTGAGCGTAATAGGT